TATTCTAAGCAATTTATTTAAATATAACATATTAATTTAAAATAATTTAAATCTAATAAGATATTATTAGATGTATTTTCTACTTATTTAATAATTCCTGGAAAAGGGTATGTGATTATATTTTATCCAGATATTTAAATGTTTAAAAAAGATCTAATTTAAGTTGAGATAGAATCTGTATTTTGAATTTGAATGACTGAATCAAAAGTTTCTTAATAAAGTGAATCAAGATTAGATTGATAATAATATAAAGACAATTGATTGTTCTGATAATGATTATAAAAATAAAAGAAAATCCAAACTCCTTCAAAATTGAAAATATCAATAGGAATTGCTTTTTTTATTATTGATTACTGTGCGTATATATATATTATTAATTAAATGGTTTTTTCCATCTTATTTAGTTATATGAAAATGAATAGTAATTATGAATCATCTGAAATTCGTTTTAATGAGTACAAAAAGTAATTAATAATGACTAAGCTAAATTATTCATCAGTTATCTCTAATAAATGTTACAAATCACTTTTACATGTTAAATAGTCTTATTTGTAAGGAAGATATTGAAACCAAAATCCCTAACCAAATGACACATACTAATTCTCATCTTAAAAATTCCAATTCTAATCAATTTTATATAAATTATCTTAATCCCATAGATTCCATTCATTATAAATGCATTAAGTACCTTATGGAAGAATATTACTACTATCATTATTATACATACTTTAGTAAGCTGATAAAAATTAATGCTTTTAACTTAAGCATAAAATATATTTATTCAATTAGAAATAAAAATATTAAAAGATTTGTAAATATGTGATATATATATGTTTTTTGGCTAAATTCTAAATATTCTAATGTAATGATTTTCAAAAACCAAAAACCAAAAATAAATTTTTTTTTTAAATTCCTTGATTAAAATATCAAGTTTTAAAAATGTAATCATTTAAGAAATTATTTCCTATATAGTTAAGTATTAAAAATTGGCCCTGATTTTCTAGAATTAGATTTTAAAATAGCTAAAAATATATTGAGGTGATTATTTATAAAAATTATAAAGTTTTAATGGTTTTAAGTTAAATAATATAATACTAAAAATTTCTCATATTTTTTTTAAATAAAATAAAACTAAGATTAAATTAATAGTGCAACTTAATAAAAATACTTTATTAAATATATATTCTAAGACTTTATTGAATACCTGATAAAATTATACTTAATGATTAATCAAAATAAAAAAAGTTGTTTAAGGATATAATCTAATTTTTCTTGGTCTTCTTTGGAATCAAAATTTAAATATTTATATTAATAAATTATAATGCAATAAGTATAAACTAAAGACAGGGAAAAAATTGAGCTTTTCTTTTCTGCTAGAGGTCTAGCTAATAAAGATGTTTTATCAGATAGTGATCCATAATTATATGTATATTTAACGGAAGGGAAGTAAGGGATAGAAAAATTAATTGTGAAAACTGAGGTTAAAAAAAACAACCTTAATCCAGATTGGAAAGTATTTTAATTTATTTACCTTTAGGTATCTGTTGTTTTAGACTTTATCTTTGAGGTAAACCAGTATCTACGATTTTAAGTTGTAGATAGTGATGGAAATGATATCAAGGACGATGACATAATTGGTACATTAAATGTAATTTATTTTTTTATTTTAGAGCACAGTGGGAGAGATTATGGGATCTAGAAATTAAATATTTATAGGTCAACTTTCACATAAAAATAAATCAACAGGAAAGCTATTAGTAAAAGCAGACAAAAGATAAGAACTTGGAGGAACAAATTAATTAATCTATTGGTAATGGTATGGAAAAAAAATAAAAAATATGGATGGATGGTTTGGTGTTTCAGACCCTTATCTAAGATTTTTTAAATGGCACAAAAATTCTGATTGGTTAATGGTACATGAAACGGAATTTATAAAAGATAATGAAAACCCCGTATGGAAAGGATTTGAAATATCTCATGATAAATTGCATGATGAAAATCCATAATAACCTATAAAAATAGAGCTTTGGGATAATGAAAAAGATGGAAAACATTAATTAATAGGATATGTTGAAGTTACTATTGAATAAATATTTTTTAAAGAGATACATGAATTTTAAGTGAAAACTCCTAAAGGGGTATTTATTTATAAAAATAATTAATTTAGGAATTTGGTGGAACTATTGGAATAAAAAGCTTTTAAAAGCCATCTTTTATTGATTATTTGAAAGGTGGTGAATAAATTAATCTTTAAATAGCAATCGATTTTACAGGATCAAATGGACATCCTGGAAGTTAAAGTTCATTGCATTATAATACTCCAAATCAATTAAATCAATATTAAAATGCATTGAATTAAGTAGCTGAAATATTACTGAATTATGATTATGATAAAAAAGTACCAGTTTATGGTTTTGGTGGTATTCCTAATCTTCCAAATTACAATAAGAGTTCAACAGATGATTGGTACTGTTTAATATTATTTAAGTTTTCCATTAAATGGAAATAAAAAGGATCCAGAAGTTTATGGATTGGAAGGAATAATGTATGTTTATAAATAAGCTTTAAATCATATATCATTAAGTGGTCCAACAGTTTTTGCTCCTGTTATAGAAAATGCAATAGAAATTGCTGAAAAGAATAAAAAAAAAGATATTTATAATGTTTTATTAATTATGACAGATGGTTAAATCGATGATATGGATGAATGTATAAAGTTGGTAAAAACAGCAGCTAAACTTCCATTATCTATAATTATTGTAGGAGTTGGAAATGCTAATTTTAAAATGATGGAAGAATTAGATGGAGATGGTCCATAATATTAAGATTGTTTAAGAGATGTTGTTCAATTTGTTCCATTTTTAAAATTCTCTGGATAGCCTGGTGCACTAGCTTAAGAATTGCTATCAGAATTACCAGATTAATTAATTTAGTATAAATAATTAATGGGAAAGAGTCCAAATCCTGCCTAATAAATTGATTTAAGTAAATTACCATGATAATTTTATAAATTTAAAAAAATACAAAAAATTAATTTTATCAAATTAATTTTTTGAATGACTCAAAAAATTCAGTTCCTTTAAAGTCATTCTAAATTGTGATTCTGTTTTATAACCAAGTTGAAAACTTTTATTTTAGCTTTTCTTCAGAAAATCTCTTATCTATTAAGAACAAAAGACCATAATCATTCTTATGCCTAATAACTCTACCAATACATTAATTAACAGCTCTCATTGTAATATTATCATAGTATTAATTACCATTTATTCTTATTTATTCTTTTAATTCAAAACTATCTAAATTAGGGTACGGAACTCCAAATATTATGACAGCTCTAGCTAAATGATCTGAAAAGTTAATTCCTTCAGATAATGATCCACCTACCACAGATAATAAAATTGCACCTTTTTTAGCCACTTCACTATATTTTTCCAAAATCTATGGATTTTATTTCTCATCAAAAAATATTTATTTACTATATTATAAATTTTATGCTTTTGTATATTATTTAAATTACTCTAAAAAGGTATAAGTTTACATGAAGATTACTATTCCTTCTGGAATGCTTTTTTCAATATTTTAAATTAATGAATACGTCTGGATCATTAATTAATTAAGATTTTCATTTTTTTATTTAAATGAATATTCTAATTCAGCATTTATAATCAGTAATTAACACCTCTCTTTTGATATTATATGAGGATATTCTTTAAAAGTAAAATCAATTTATTCAACTCTTTCTTTAAATATTTCAAATTCATTTAATGGCTATAAAGTTCCACCTAAAAATATTAAATTTCTAGATTTATCAATTAAAGCTTAAAAACTTGAATAATTATTAATCTTAGATAATTTCATTGTATTTTACTTCTCAATATATAAAATTGATTCTTTCTGAGATGTTAGAATTAATTATTAAATAAATTTACAAAAACATTCAAAACTACAATATTATGTAACATTTTATGTTGAATCTATGAACCCATTAATTCTTTATCTCATATCTTTATTCTAAACAAATTTTATTAATTTTATAATATTTATTTTTGGGATACCTATTTCTACCATGAAATCTAACAAAATAATGAGATTACCGCTTTACTTTGTTTTGATTTTTTCAATTAGTGATTTGCTTAATTACAATAATTAGTTCAAATAGTATAAAGTTTTTGCTTTAACTCTTTAATGATACTTTTTTCTATAATCCTCTATTCCCCCAATAATAATATTTAATTAATTTAAAGATATTTCACATGATTCTGTTTGTAAAAGAGCTGAACCAAAATTATGAGCTTCATCTACTATAATTATAGGTTCAATATATTAATCTATTGATTCCATTAATAATTAATATGGAGTACAAATAATATCTGCTTATAATGATAATTCCTTGGCTGCATAATAGGGACAAGATTAACATTTTTTGCTTACACTAAGTAAATCATTAATATCAAATATCTCTTGAATGTATTGTTCCGTGGTATCTAAGGACTTAAAATAAGAACATTATTTTTTATTGGTTTTACAAAGATGATTTAATTTATTAACATTATTATTTGCTTTACTTAGAATTGATTAATTCACACATAGATGTTGCCTTGATCCAATAGTGGAAACTCTTACTTTATGCTTAGAACGTCTAATTTCATTAATAAATTATTTCAATTAAGAATGAGTACGACTACAATAAATAATTTTGTCATTCAAAGACTATGCTCTTAAATTAATTTAATTTTCTTCTGAGCTTGAATAATCAAAAACAGCATCATCATCAATCAATTTAACATGCTTTTTCTATTATTTATTTTCTATTTCAAAAATCTAATATACCATGTACAATAGGCTTTTGTAAAGGATTCAATTTTAAATCAATATCAGGATCATTAAACCAATCTGGCATGTCATCATCATTTTAAGTCTTTTATTTTTATTTTATTAATGTGTTTGATTTTAAATCATCTAAATAATTCAAAGCACCTTCAATCAGAGCATAACTCTTCCCTGTTCCTGTTGGAGATTCAAAAATAGAAACCTTTAACTTTATTTTAATTCTTACTTTAGTTCCTTATGCTAAACTTACATAAATATCTTTTGATAAATCAAGTTAAGACTAGTATGGAGTAAATGGATACTATTACTTAATTCTTTCTCTTATTCTCCCTTCAATTTCTTTATTCATAAATTTATAATTATTATTTTTTTTTTGACAAAAAATTAGTTGAATTTTTAATAATATTAAATTAAGTCTCTTACTAATTAGAAATATAATATCTAGACTATAACTCCAAACTTTTTGTAATTTATTCCAATCATTAATAATTTGTGAATCATCTCATCCCTACATACAAGTCATTTCAAACTCAAAGTCTTTAAATTAATTATGATGTGATCAAAAACATCTTTTTTAAGTCTTGTTTAATGGAATTGTGTAAGAGACTTAATATTACTAATCTAAGATCTTAAGGAAAAGTAATTATCGCTTGATTGGATTGTTTTGAAAAGTGGATAATTTTTTATGGAATTCAGGATCCTGAATAAAACATTAAAAATAATATTCTTAGTGTATAACCTGTCCTTGTTCCACCTTTGGTCTAATTCTGGATTTATGTTCATATTTTATTTTTTGTTTAAATAACCTTATAATAATCAATTCATCGATTATTATTTTTCATTATTTAAGATTTTGGAAGAGAATACTATTTCGCATTAATGTCTTAAATTTCTAATGAGCATTGTGATAAATTCATAAAATTAGGATTTATAAATTAGCATATTCAAGTATTTATATTTAATATGCAACCATGCCAGAATGAAGGATGTTAAGAAATAATATAAAACCTTAAACTAAGAAAATATAAAGGCTACTTTTGATTAAAACCTTGTGAATTTTTAAGATTAGGCAACATCATAATTTAATTAGGGCTTTGAAATAATTGATTGAAGATGAAAACTTAATTATTAATTAACTTATATAAATTGTTTTTTAGTTATAGGCTGTTTAATAAGAATAATAGATTAAGTTCTTTATCAACAGGATAATATGATTTGGGTTAAACCAATTAATATTAAAAATGTAGATTATGTTAAAAAGCTGATGAAATTCCAAAATTTAAATGTCAACAACACATAAAAATATATTTTTTATAATGCTAAAAATATATTAAAATGTCCTGAAAAACATCTTTTAAAATATTAATAACTTGAATTATTTTTAGTGAAATCAATAAGCTGGTTCTTCCATTTATTGTGAATTTTGTGGAGAATCTCTTTTTAAGAAAGATGAAGGAGTTTTGCGTGATAGAGATTGTGACTTTGATTATAACATTACCTGCTTCAAAAGGTACAATAATAAAAATATATGATGTTTAAAACAAAATCATATATTTTTATTTTATATCTAATCTGTAAAAAACTCTTTTTCAAAGTTATAATAATTTTATATGTGATTGGTTATTTAAATAGGAAATATGGTCTTAATTTTATATTGATGATTTATAAAATATTTTGATATAGTATTATTTTTATTTCGTTTAGATTATGCAAGAGTTATTGATAAAGTTATTCAATATTGTAAAAAACTAGTGAAATAATTAGATTTGTGAAGAGGATCAAACAAAATAGAAATTTAATAAATGCAATAATATTTGCGAATAGTTAAAATTAATTACAGACATCACAATTAAAAAGCAATCAGAATTCTTAAGTTTGGAAAAGCAGCTGTAGAAATATGAATCTGAAGTCAGAAAGAACATTAGAGTATTTAGCTTTTTAAGCTTTAGGATTAGTATTTGATGCAACAATAATAAGATGATTTATAACAAAAAATAGAAGAGCTTGAAAAATGCAGAAATGAATTTTTAAGCAACACTAAGAATACAATTATTGTAAACAATCATTTTTATTCATAGAAATTAAAAAGAGAAAATGAAGAATTATATTAAAAATGCAAATCCTTAACTGCTTAATTATAAAAAGTTGATAATTAAGTATATTCTTAAATAATTAATATTTTAGTCAATTAGTAAATATTCTACTGTTGATAATACGATTACGAATATAACTAATACTCTAGATTAAGCTAAATTGAGACCAAAAACTAACACTACTCCTCAAAAATTGAAAACAGATGTGGATGCATCATAAAAAAGATTAAGTCAATAGTTAATTAAGCCTAATTACTTCTAAAAAAAACAATCAACATAGATTTCTATTCAAAACAAACGATAANTATGATTTGGGTTAAACCAATTAATATTAAAAATGTAGATTATGTTAAAAAGCTGATGAAATTCCAAAATTTAAATGTCAACAACACATAAAAATATATTTTTTATAATGCTAAAAATATATTAAAATGTCCTGAAAAACATCTTTTAAAATATTAATAACTTGAATTATTTTTAGTGAAATCAATAAGCTGGTTCTTCCATTTATTGTGAATTTTGTGGAGAATCTCTTTTTAAGAAAGATGAAGGAGTTTTGCGTGATAGAGATTGTGACTTTGATTATAACATTACCTGCTTCAAAAGGTACAATAATAAAAATATATGATGTTTAAAACAAAATCATATATTTTTATTTTATATCTAATCTGTAAAAAACTCTTTTTCAAAGTTATAATAATTTTATATGTGATTGGTTATTTAAATAGGAAATATGGTCTTAATTTTATATTGATGATTTATAAAATATTTTGATATAGTATTATTTTTATTTCGTTTAGATTATGCAAGAGTTATTGATAAAGTTATTCAATATTGTAAAAAACTAGTGAAATAATTAGATTTGTGAAGAGGATCAAACAAAATAGAAATTTAATAAATGCAATAATATTTGCGAATAGTTAAAATTAATTACAGACATCACAATTAAAAAGCAATCAGAATTCTTAAGTTTGGAAAAGCAGCTGTAGAAATATGAATCTGAAGTCAGAAAGAACATTAGAGTATTTAGCTTTTTAAGCTTTAGGATTAGTATTTGATGCAACAATAATAAGATGATTTATAACAAAAAATAGAAGAGCTTGAAAAATGCAGAAATGAATTTTTAAGCAACACTAAGAATACAATTATTGTAAACAATCATTTTTATTCATAGAAATTAAAAAGAGAAAATGAAGAATTATATTAAAAATGCAAATCCTTAACTGCTTAATTATAAAAAGTTGATAATTAAGTATATTCTTAAATAATTAATATTTTAGTCAATTAGTAAATATTCTACTGTTGATAATACGATTACGAATATAACTAATACTCTAGATTAAGCTAAATTGAGACCAAAAACTAACACTACTCCTCAAAAATTGAAAACAGATGTGGATGCATCATAAAAAAGATTAAGTCAATAGTTAATTAAGCCTAATTACTTCTAAAAAAAACAATCAACATAGATTTCTATTCAAAACAAACGATAATCCTATTAACATATGGAAAATTAACTAAATTTAACTACTAGCATGTGATTATTTCTTTTATATAAAATATCATTCATTCATTTTTCTACTAATCAGCCTTAGATTGAGCTGCCTAATGTCTTGTTTAGACACCCTCCTAAGACTTTTAACATTGTTAGGCACAAGATTTTTTGATATTCTATTAATTCTATTGTTTTTCAATTTGCTATTCTTCTTAAGTGGATTATTGAAAATCAATAGAATCTTTCTTATCATTTTCTAAATTATTAGGAGTTGTTTTAAGAAGGTTTTTCTATTTACCTTTTCCTGGTTATTTTTATTCAGTATTTTTCTTTTTTTTCTATTCATTTTACTCTTTTTTTTGAGGTATTGAAAAATTGTCTATACTTTCAAAGAGAAATTTATCTCTTGTTGGGGAATTTTCATCTTAATCTATTTTTATTTTCAAATCATTAAGTTATTTTACAAATTTTTGTAATTAGTCTTAAGTTTTTATTTTTTTTATCCCAAATTGATATCCAATCACAAATGAGTCTTTCATTAGTTCTTATCCTCTTGATCCTGAATTTTTAATAGTCTATATCAATTCATATAATTAGTTCATTAAATAATATTATATTATAAAATAATTTTAGAAATCAACTAAAAAAAGTTTATAATCTCAAAAAATTAGGCTTTTAATATAAATATATATATGTTACATAAAATAAAATTTTAACCCTAATTTTAATTGATTTGGATTTCTAATTTAAATAAATAGTTGAAGTATTCTAAGAGAAAATAATTGAATATCTAAACATCTTCTTTCTATTTTTAATAAAAGCTATTCAATAATTATAAATAATTTAGATAAGTGTATTTGTACCAGATAAATAATTATCATTTGACGTAATTTTTATTTATAAGAGAAGTACTATTGTCTCACTAGGTTATATTATGACACCTAATATTTAATTATATTTATAATTTTTAAAATTTAAATGGGTATTCTAATTATTTTCCATGTACTAAATGAATATAATTTTGTAATTTTTATATATATAATTGATGTTAAATAATGTTACATAATACTTATATTCATAATTAACAAATTGTAATTTATTTTGTAAAATTTAACAATGGAAATTGCTATCTTTTTATTTAGTTTTTCGCTAAAGTATTTGAATCATTTAACAAAAGCATCGTATTAACATAAAGTACTTAATGCATTTATAATGTATGGAATCTATGGGATTAAGATAATTTATATAAAATTGATTAGAATTGGAATTTTTAAGATGAGAATTAGTATGTGTCATTTGGTTAGGGATTTTGGTTTCAATATCTTCCTTACAAATAAGACTATTTAACATGTAAAAGTGATTTGTAACATTTATTAGAGATAACTGATGAATAATTTAGCTTAGTCATTATTAATTACTTTTTGTACTCATTAAAACGAATTTCAGATGATTCATAATTACTATTCATTTTCATATAACTAAATAAGATGGAAAAAACCATTTAATTAATAATATATATATACGCACAGTAATCAATAATAAAAAAAGCAATTCCTATTGATATTTTCAATTTTGAAGGAGTTTGGATTTTCTTTTATTTTTATAATCATTATCAGAACAATCAATTGTCTTTATATTATTATCAATCTAATCTTGATTCACTTTATTAAGAAACTTTTGATTCAGTCATTCAAATTCAAAATACAGATTCTATCTCAACTTAAATTAGATCTTTTTTAAACATTTAAATATCTGGATAAAATATAATCACATACCCTTTTCCAGGAATTATTAAATAAGTAGAAAATACATCTAATAATATCTTATTAGATTTAAATTATTTTAAATTAATATGTTATATTTAAATAAATTGCTTAGAATA